ATAGTCAAGTCCTTCTTTTTTAGTATAACCGTTGGCAACTAATCGAGCTTTATATCTATTCACATCACCATTTGACTGGTATTTGATCTTGTACACCCACTTTGATCCAATTGCTTTCTCACTTGGAGGTAAGTCAACAATTGTCCAAGTGTTGTTATCTTCTAAAGCCTTAATCTTTTGTTGCATAACATTAATCCACATCTTATCTTGTGATGCTTCATGAAAAGATTGAGGTTCCACAGCTGCTGAAAAAGCCTGCAAATAAGACTGATAACCTGAGGATACATTATCATAATAGACATGGTTCTTAATTGAGTGAGGACTTGATTTTTGAGGCACAACATAATATTTGATCCACACAGGAGGCTTGCACTGTCTGGTAGTCTTCCTTGAACTAACATTAATTGGTGGTTCATCAACAGGAGGTGGAAGAGTGTCTGAATACACATGTTCTGTGGGAAGTGGCTCTATTGGACCAACCTCGGGAGGTTCATCATGAGAACATTCCTGATCATTATTGGTATTAGGAAGCTCTTCAATATGTGTATGGCATGGTTCTGCAGGAGATGAACATGTTGGGAGAACTTGATCTATGTTCACATCATTGGTGGCATCATCCACAGTATCTAAGAAAGGTGAAAGCAAGCGACAAGGACCTGTATCATTAGATTGCATAACTTTAAAAGGAAACACTGCCTCTATGAACACAACATCCCTGCTAATGAACACAACTTTCGCCTCAAGATCATGTAGCTTATATCATTTTTGTGTGGAAGAGAACCCCAACAAAACAGCTTTCTTAGCTCTGGCTTTAAACTTTCCACCTCTTGGCAAAACAGTAGCAAAACATAAACATCCAAATACTCTTATATGTTCTAGTCTAGGTGCCTTTCCAAATAGCCTTTCATAAGGATACTGTCTATTTAACACAGTTGTAGGCAGCATGTTAATTAAGTAAACTGCAGTTTGTACACATTCACCCCAAAATCTACTAGGAATATGAGATTGCATTTTTAAAGCTCTACTTGTGTCCAGTATATGCCTATGTTTCCTTTCAACAATACCATTTTGTTGTGGAGTGTATGGACAGCTACTTTGATATATGATGCCTAAAGAGGATAACATTTCATTGACTTGACTGTTAAAGAACTCAGTACCATTGTCAGATCTCAACACCTTTATTGCACAATCAAACTGATTACAAACCATTGATATAAAGCTTCTCAATACAACTATTATATCCTTCTTAGTTTGCAGTAAAGAAATCCATGTAAATCTGCTAAAGTCATCAACGACAGTAAGAAAATAATGTTTTCTATCATAAGTGGGATCTCTATGAGGTCCCCAAACATCTAGATGTACTAGTTGAAACATCTTAGTAGTATGAGTAACACTAGAAGGAAACTTGAGTCTACACTGTTTTGCCAAAGGGCAAATCATACAATCTTCTTGTACTGCCTCAACCAGTTTATTTTGCAACATATGTAGATGCTGCAATACTTTCAAAGAGGGATGTCCCAATCTAAGATGCCAAAGTTTATGTTCTTCTGAGTTCTTGTTTTTGAGTACTGCTCCAACAATAGGTAGTACTTCTTGTCTGAGAATATACAAGCCATCATTTTCCTTACCAATCCCAATCACCTCTCCAGTAAAGAGAGCCTGCATTACACATAAATCAGGATAGAAAGACACCATGCATTTCAGTTCCTTAGTCAGTTTAGAGACTGACAATAAGTTGAACCTGAAGTCTGGTACATGTAAAACATTTTTTAACTTGCAATTCCCCAAAATCACTGCATCTCCTACATGTTCTATATGAATATTATTTCCTGTTGGCACCTGCACCTTATTACAACTGGATTTTGATAATTTTCTACATTCACTTAACATACTTTCACAATATGTAATATGATGTGTAGCTCCTGAATCAATAATCCACCTCACTGTATTTCCACCGACATTATCAGGCAAAGGATTCATACCTGCTGCAACATTGGCATCAGCCCTGCAGGTTCCTGTAGGTGAGGAAGGAGGCAACATCTTAGTGACTTGCTCATATTGCTCCTTTGTGAAATAACCTCCTGGGAAATAGAATTTTGATGCTGATCCAGATCCTGATGCCTCAGAAGTGGAGTTATTTGCATATGTTGATCCAGATCCTGATGCTTCAAAAGTGGAGTTATTTGCATATGCTTCATTCACAGATCCAAATCCCTTTCTCTTACTCTTGAAGTCTGCTGGAAATCCTACAATTCTATAACAGTTTTCTCTAGTGTGACCTTTGTAACCACAATGATCACACACTAGTCCCATCATTCTGCCTTGTGAATTCTGACCCTGAGTCTTCTTAGCAGGAAAATTGTTGTTGATCTGATTGTTGAAATTATGTGGTTGAGCACCTCTTCCTGCCATCATTGTCCAAGGTTCTTTACCTCCTTCTGTTTGTCCTAGCTTCCTTTGGCTTTCTTCCTGTATAGCCATTGCATAGGCTTGATTTACACTTGGAACAGATGGACTCAACAGAATAGAACTCCTCATCTGAGCATAGCTCTCATTCAAACCAACCAAAAACTGCAATAACCTTTGTTGTTTAACATGTCCAACGTGTGAGCTTGACTCAACACAATCACAAGAAGGAGAAGGCACCATCATATCCATCTCATCCCATAGATCTCTCATTTTGGAGTAATAAGTTGTCACAGAATCAGTTCCTTGTGACAATATACTGATCTCTTTCCACAAGTGAAAAATCCTTGTCAAATTGGACTTATCAAATCTCTCTTTGAAGTCATTCCAGATCTTCTTCGAACTAGAAGCATATACTATGCTAGTCATTAATTCTGGTGCAACTGTTGCACTTATCCACTATAAGACAACCGCATCACATCGTTCCCATCTGACTGCCAGATCTCCCTTGTATGAGCTCTTAGCACATGTGCCATCAACAAATCCCAGTTTGTTTTGACTAGTAGTGCTAATCGCATTGACCTGCTCCACACACCATAGTTCTCTGGCCCTGTGAGCTTCATAGGAATCAAGGCAACACCAAGTACGTCTGATGCTTGAAGATGAAGTGAATGATTATGATTCGTCTGGAGATTATCTTCTACCTCTGAACTCTGTGATTCCACCATTACTATAGCTTCAACAATTGCAGAAACTACAGATTCAAACCTCTAAGGAATCCCTTGATCAATGCTTTGATACCATATAGAATTTGTGAACTCTTGCGAAGAAGAACAGAGAATGCAGAAACAGAGATCTCTTGGAAGAATCTAGAAGAAAGCTACATTTCAATGTGTATCATCAATTCATTGTGTGTGCCCTTTTACATTTCAGCCTCTATATATAGAGGATTATATTTGTTGTTACTAATTAACCTCACAACTAACAGTGGTAACAACTTAACTAACTGCATAACAAAATGTAAAGCACGTGACTCTAACTAACTTGTTGAACTGACCAATCACAATACAACAGCTCATCTTATCTATATTTCAATACCCATTTCAGCAAGGATTGTCGTGCTCTCCAAAAATCTTCTTCTTCTGACCTCTAAGGTGGTCCGTCATTTGAAAGATTAAGAGCTTGTTTGGATTAGTTGAGTAAAAATAATTGATAAGTATCAACAATTGAAAAATATTTTTAAGTGATGAAACTGATTTATCAGCTTAAAATCATAAGTTAGAAGTGATCAATTTGTGACTGATTTTAATTTAGAAGCACTTTAATATGTAGGAAAAGAATATATAAATTAAAATAATAAATACTTATAAACTATTTTGGCATGGTTGATGGTAATCCTTGAAGCATATATAATCAATCTTCCACTTGTTGTTTTTTCCCTAAGGTCTTTAAAGACTTCCCAATTCTATAATTTGCCAAAAAATAATAATTTTGATTGACTTCATGCTTGTCCAGTTCTTAGAGATTAAATTATATTGTAAATTTAGTGGATAAACATGTAACAAATGATATCTTGCTGTAAATTTTGTACTATACAACACTGTACAGATTTTTTAAAAAAAAACTAATCTATTATCTTTTTGCCAAGTGTCAAGAAATTTTAATTTTGATCGATTCGTCATGTTGCTAAAGTTTGTATTAGCACAAAGAATAGTTAAACAATACCATTGAAAAATAAGGATAAATAACACGTGAGGATAGTGACAACTACAAGTAAAAAAGATTGATATAAACTTTGAAATTTAGTCGTTTAGTAAATGTAGACATCGAAAAGAAAAAGGAAAGATAAGAACTAATTAAGATAAAAAGCCAACAAAAAAAGATGCAACAAAATGGTATGTGGACATGATTTGTAGACTGTAGTGGTGGACATCTCTTGGTCATTTTTTAATAGGAATGAATTACACTCCACCAATTCAAGTTTTGAAATAAATGTTCTCTTATTATTATCGCATAACGCTTGTCTAATGCGATGTCATTTTATAAAAACTAATTATTCTTCCAGTTATGCTATATTAGGTTTTGTGTGAAATAAAGTCATATTACCACTATTAAATAACAGTAATGGCATGATTAGATCTAACTATAACAAAAAAAAAAACAAATATTATAAATTTCGCATAATTTAAAAATATCTTTTACACTTTCTCAATATTCTATATGTATATATTTTGTAAAATATGAGAGAGTTTCAAACCTATCTAGGTATATATAGTAATGGAAAAAGGAACAACCTTAAATCATCCACTAACAAATTTTTTATTTTTTTATTAGAGCATTACATGTACATTGTATAGTATTAATTTGTCGGCTAACAGCAAAGCAAATGTGGTTCGACCCCACTATACATGAATGTAAATGATCCAACAAGATATGTGCTATACTCTTATGTTCCCATCTTAGATTTTTTATTTTTTCATTTTTTTTAATTATCAAATTGGTAAGAGTTGTTTATAAATTATTAGGTACTAAATTTTTTAAAAAGAATCAAATAAAATAATTATAAATTTTACAGATTGGATTATGACTCATATGTCCCTTTTGGGATATCCGATAAAATTGGAACAATATGGAGAAGATTAGCATGATTCCTGCACAAGAATGGTACGCAAAATCGAGAAATGGAGTATGACTCGTATTTTAGTTCATTTCGTGCCCTAATTAACCTGCTTATCTATTAATTTATCCTATTTTAACCTATCTAAATTGAACTCACCCGCTTATATATATATCAGTATTATTATTTTCGATTGGCAGGCTAACCAACTCATCTCAATTATTTTGTTCCCCAATTTTCCATCTACGTACAAACGTTTAGACATGCTTACTACTAAGTGACAAGTGTTGTCAACTTGGTTTAGGCACATACGATTTCCAAAAGATTGAAAGTTGAAATTAAATCTTACTTAAATAAACTAAAATAAGACATAATTTATCAATATTACCCTTTTGCTACTTTGGGGATGGGGTGGATGAAGGATTTTGTAGGTTTATTTATTTAAGAAGAAATGATCAACTGTCAAAAGATTCTCTAATGCATTTCTAATTAGCCCTTATTATTAGTTATAGTTATTTTGTAATGTATCTATTAAAATATTAAATTTATTATAATCAAAAGATTTTAATAAATTTATTATAATCAAAAGATGATATAGTAGTAAATTGTCAATTTATTTATTATTTTTAAGGGGTTTGTCAAGTCTAGACAAGTAAGAACATATGGAGGGGATATTTTTAGAGTTGGGAAAGGAAAAACGGCAAAAGAGATTATAAGATAGGAATCAAGGCATTCAGGTAGCCAACTATCTGAGCTATTAAGATTTTTCGACTGATGAAGTATTAGATTTTAGAACAATAAAAGTAGGATAATTGTGGCAACAACATGCGCTACACCAAAAAAATTTAGCAGCAATTAATTAATAACAATAGCTTAATTATCGTTAAATATGTTTATTATCGCAATAACACTCTTTGTAAATGTTCTTAAGGCCCATAACGACATTGGATGCAATGACAATTAACTAATGTTGGTAATTAAAGACTTTAAAACTCTTTATTAATATGCATATTTATTGCCGTTGAAATCTATGCGGGATATTGATATAACATCTCTAGGGGTGACAAATAGTTGGATTGGATCGGATTTGGATGGATTGAACATGGATTGAACAAAAATGGTTTGGATTACAATCCACCCAAATAGAATATGGGTAAATATGGATTTGGTCATATATGATTTGGGTAAAATGGTTCTAACCCATTTTAAAAAATCTGTTTTTCAAAAAAAAAAAATTACCCCCTCCCCCGGGCACCTCCCCCCCACCCCCCACCTTCCACCAACCTATCCCTAATTTTTTTTGTTTCCCAAAAACAAAAAAAAAAAACTGTTTTTTCAAAAAAAAAAAAAATTTACCCCTCCCCCCGGCACCCCCCACCTCCACCTTCCACTAACCGACCCCTACATTTTTTTGTTTTCCAAAAACAAAAAAATCTATTTTTTCAAAAAAAAAAAATTACCCCCTCCCTCGGGCACCCCCCCCCCCCACCCACACACCTTTCACCAACCTACCCCTAAATTTTTTTTGTTTTCCAAAAACAAAAAAAATATGTTTTTTCAAAAAAAATAAAATAATTAGCCCCTCCCCCGGGAACCCCCACCCCCACTTTCCACCAATCGACCCCTAAATTTTTTTTGTTTTCCAAAAACAAAAACAAAAATGTTTTTCAAAAAAATAAAATAATAATTACCCCCTCCCCAGCACCCCCACCACCCAGGGCTCCTCCTTCCACCAACCTACCCCTAAATTTTTTTTTGTTTTCCAAAAACAAAAAAAAAAAAAAAATTCAATTAAATTTGAAAATTAATATTAATTTTTTTATTTTTTAGCACAATTAAGAATTTCGAGCGGAAGTAAAAACTAAGTGATCTATTATGAGTCAATATGGATACCTATATTTAATCCATTTTGACCATATTTGTAGAGACTCTTAAAATAGCTTGAAGCCCATATTTAACCAATTAAAATAGGAAAAATTACCGAAATACATACCTTTTGTTTCACTTATTTCCATTATCCCTATTACTTTTTAAAATCTCCAAAATTCCTTATTTCTTTAATGTATCCGAGCTACATATTAATGTATTCGAGCTACATATTATGTATCCAAGCTAGTTTTTAATGTATCCGAGCTACATATTAATGTATCCGAGACAGTATTTAATGTATTCGAGCTACATATTAATGCATCCAAGATTCAATTATTGTATTCGTTTTTTTTTTTTAATTTTTAAGGGATTAATGTAATTAGAAACTTATTAGGGATGGATTATAATTTTACATTAAAACTATAAGATTTATGTAATTTATCCATTAAAATATGAGTAATCCAAGTTATTAAATATGAATAAAATGAACTCATTTCATTAATATGGGCTGAAATTACAGACATCACACACTTTAGATCCAAAAATTGGAGTATTAATTATGTCATATGTTAAATACCTGTCACTCGATAAATGATTTCTTTTTCAACCAACTTTCCTCATCAAGAAAATAATTAAGGAGACTAACCAATTCAAATTAAAGTGCTTAAATTTGTGTTAAGTAAAGAGCCACGTGACTTGAGCTTAACTATCTCATAATCATTATCTAACTCACATGCCACGCCTTGATGGGAAAGCATGGTATGGCAATGAATGGTTGTTGAATTACTCCCACGGTTTCAGTTTATTTATCTGATTTTGATTTGACACAAAATTTTAAAAAATAAAATAAAGTTTTTAATCATATGATTTTAAAATAAAAATAAGTCAAATGTATCAATATATCCTTTAATCTTAGAGTCTTAAATATGACACATGGAAAATTAGAGTTAAAACAGTGTACAAAAAAAAGGATATACTCTTTTTAAAAATGGAATAAAAAGAAAAGTAAGATAAATAAATTAAATCGGAGAAAATAATATATATATTCTAATATCTGCTTGATTTGGTAGATTTAAATGCTATTTTTCAAAATATTTTGATTTTGGCTTTTAATTTTCTACTGCCCCACCTAAATGTTATTCAAAGAGTCAAATTCATTTCCATTTGGTGAAATTTGTTGCAACTTCTTTCACACACTTTATCCCATTTTTGTTCTTTTAACTTCTCTTAAAGTTAAATCACTATTATGTCTTTTAATTAAATACACTTTGCAACTCAATTTACTTAATAATATATCAATTAGGGCGACTTTGTCAATACATGTACTCTCCGAAGCACCATCACTAAAATCATGAAAGACTGTCAATTGACCTTTGAATACTTTCATCGAATTTTTTTATTATATACATAAAAAAAAATTACATACTAAGTATATAAATCAAAGAATTTTTTTTTTTATGTGTATGTACTGAAAGTCTGAAACTGCTTGTGCCTATTATAATATGCACACCAAATACGCGTGACATTTCGTGGAGTATTCAAGTAATAAAGGGATTATTATTACTATTATTATGGAGTAATATATAGATACGTTGAAATTGTGTGTGCCGTTTATAATATACGCACATTATTTTAAATAAGTAAGTAACCAGTAATAGTTGAGAAGTCAACATCAAATGGAAACTTGTGGAAAAATTGAAGGTATGATTGAGAAAAACACACTTTTGCCACATTGAAAGATTTTCATACACTTGATTGTGAAGCTAACTTTTTGTTACTGTTATTTTAATGGATTAAAGCTTCTCAACGTGTATATGAATTATGATTCTTCCTTTCATGATGAAAAAAAGAATTTCTCATGAATATTAATAATATTTTATTTTTGAAAGGCAAAAAATAATAAATATTTTAGAATAGAAGGAACATTTAACCCTTTGATATTTATCTCAATCTGTTTTTCAAACGTTAAATATTCTTATAGATTACAAAAGACACGTCTTTGATTGTAAACCTTGACGTATATAGTTCATATATATATAAGGAAAATGACCTAAATACACATCTTATTTTATCATAATTTCTAAAAAATTTCTATACCTTCTAAAAAAATTCAAAAATTCCCTCTCGGATACATCACTCCCTTCTTGCTGATACATTCCTACCTCCCTCTCGGATACATCATATCTCTCCCCTCTCTAATACATCCCTCCTCTTTCGGATATATTTCTCCCCTCTCTAATACTTTCCTCTCCTATGTATCTGGATGTCATATCTCCTCTTTGATACATCCCTCCCCTCTCGGATATACCCCTCCCATATATTTGGATGTCTGCTAATGTATTCGAAAGTTCAATGATGTATCCGAAATTCATAAATTTTAAGGGATTATGGTAATTTAAAAAAATAGTAGGAAAATAATGTAGTTAACTCTTAACACTATGAGATTTATGTAAATTATACTTAATATAATCTTCCACTTCTTGTTTTTTACCCTAAAGTCTTAGACTTCCCAATTCTATAACTTTGCCAAAAAAAAATTCGATTGACTTCATGCTTGTCAAGTTCTATGAATTTAAATATTATTATAAAATATTGGTGGATAAACATGTAACAAATGTCAATGAATTGAAACCTATCAAAAAGTGGAATGTTCTGAAGAAGTCAGTAGAAAGTTTTTGTTGGTTCTTCAACCAACTCTCTTGAAAAGATACTCATTTATTAACACCTATAAAACAACCCAATCCAACTTATCAAATTGATATGTACTACTTTAAAATTTAAAATGCAATGTATTGCCACGTGCAGACAAATCCAATTGGGCAAGTAATTGTAGTTCTTAAGCCTACTCAATCTGCCGCATGGCCATAACCATTTAGCCACGTTGTAAATCCTCTTAAATCAATTTTCAAACACTATGGATTAAAGGCAAGAAAAAAGTGGCCACCTAAGCTCTACCCAACTAATTTGGAATTTCTAGAAACTCCACCTTATTATATAGCACTACTTTTTTTTTTTAATTTCCGATACTCAATTTAATATTAAATTGTGATTAAATCTGAATTTGTGACAAAATGTGTGTATATATATATACTTCTTAGTTGCTGCTCCAAAAGAAACTAAAAACAGAACACTCTTCTTACACTTTCTTCTTCTTCTTTTCTTCCTAAATGGATTGGATCAGAGGACATACCATCGGCCACGGCTCCTCTGCTGCC